GTTTACCGTTAATCTATCGATATTATCATGTTGTTGAATTATTAGGTTTAGGAATGGCAAGGAATCCAGGTAATTGGGCTACGCAACATTTTGTAGTTTTGCAAAATAAAATCGGGTGTAAGCGATCGTAGTACAAAATATATGTCTTCGAATATCATTTAGAAGGTGTTTAGACAATTTAGTTTTTTTGTGTTAAATAATATCTCTCTATTAAATATATATAAAAATAGTTGAAAAATTGATAATATTTGCAAAAATACTGAATTTTTTTTTGGATGCAAATGTAGTTCAAGCGAGAAATCTTGTCATTCCATCCTCTTTTACTCGTATCTTGATTTATGCAGCGAATGTATAAAGCATACAAAATTCATATGGACTGAGATGTGGATTTAAACTATCATATAGAATTATCACTCAATGATAAAATTCAGCTAAAAAGAATTAAAAACTCGGTAGAAAATAATAGATTTCTTAAATATGAACTTTATCTTGAGACATTTCAGCACTAGTTCCGTTATAAAAATAAAAGGAAAAGATCAACCATATTTGAGTGAACTCACTATTACAAATTGTAGCTTTTGATTTACTAGAATACAATCAACTGTTGAGTTCAAGTTTTATGATAGAAATAAGTAATTATAAACTCTCGTCAAGTTTTCTTTTTGCTTATATGTACTAGTTTAAGATGTTACTTAATCAATCGCTTCAAACCGAAGTAGTTAGGACAAATAGTTTCCAGTCATTGTATTTTATGATAATGTACGTGAAGCCAGTAGAATCAAAATGTTTTAAATTGATTGTTAAATAAATCTCTTAGCGAAATAAAGCAAGTTAGTTTGTGAAACACATCGGACACTTAAATATTCATTTTCTATTTACAACTAGTTTTTTTTGACAGTAAGTCAGTCAGTTGGTCATGAAATAGTTTCGCGTGCCTCTATAATGACTTCTATATTTTCCTTTATTTCATTGGACTCTTTTAATATATATCACTACAAGTGTATTAACTGGTGAACAATTTTGAATATCTATTGGATAATTAGAAAAAAGACATCGATAGTTAATATGTTTCTAAATGAATATAATTCACTATAATCATGTCAACAATAGACAACAAGAAAGCATTGTCTTCTTCAAAATATCCTATAAGAGAACATCATGATGATAACAATGATAATATTATAGAAACAAAAGATAATATTGACGAAATTATCATTGAACAGGTATTTATCTGAACTATGTCTAGAACTTTTTATAAGATTGTTTCATTTTTATAATCAAACTTTTAAGAGAATATAAGTTGCAATATGAAACTTGTTCCTCCTTCAGGTTCACACAGTTAATGATTGGGAACATGCTGATCTTGGCGATGAACAACGTAAACAAAAATTTCTTCGATTAATGGGTGCAAAAGTAAAATAAGAAAATATTATAAATTAAATATTAAATTATTTTATCTTTAGAAACGTAAAGATGAAGGTCGAATAGATACAAAAGATATTCATGATACAGTTCATGAAGATCAATTCTTATTGGATAAGAAACATTGTCGTTCAAGTTAGTTTCTAGTTTATTTATGATAATATAAAAAGTTTATTGTATATTTTTAGAAGTCGAAAATGAAACAATTGATCGTGAACTCGAAAAACAATTCAATGAAGGTTTACAATCAAAAATTCTACATACACACCATGAAGGTCTTGGTTTTTATGAAAATGAAACAGCAAATAATGCTTCTAGTTCACAAGATTGGCATCATCAACAAATAACAACAAAATTTGTTCCAGCTAAATTAGAAAATGGATCACTATCAAATAGTAAAGAAGAAACAAAATTGAATTAATACACTTTTTTATTTATATTAATAAAACTAACATGATGTTTGTATATAGAAATTAATCTCAATTCAGATAGATAATTTCTTGTCAGAATTCTCTAATCAAACAAAAATTTTTATGATTTTGTAATTGTTGGAAGTGGAATCGATTGTGTTTTATATCGATTAGCTCTTCCACTTGTTGTATTACTTATAATCTGTGATAATCTGCTTGTATTCAAAAATCGACAGAATAATAAACGAAAAAATTCAGTTCGAAATTCAATTAATGTTGCAAAATATAAGAAAAATGATAATGCATGATAAGTATATTTTATTGAATCTATAAGACTTAAAAGATAATTTTGAAATATACTTGATTGTATTACTTTATGAAAAAAAGCAAATATTATTGCTGGTGGTGTTGTCATTAAACAAAAAAGAAATGCTGATACAAGAATTGGTATTGATATTGATGTATGTCGAATACGAGATTTTTGTATACTTGATGTTCTTTTTATTAAAATTAAATGTCGAATAATTAATATATTAAAAGTTAACATGAGAATAAATGGTATTATATTATATAATGCTAAATTAATATAATTCCATATTGGATAAATCTGGAAATGAAGTGATCCACCACCAATTTTTGTTTCATTATGATTTATATATGAATAACATGAGAATATAGGTAAATGAAGATTAATAAGTATTATTGAAATAAATGTTGATATAATAAGAACAATAACACGACGATGTTGATGAATTGCACGACGTTGTCGAACTTGATTTAATGCATAAAAACGATCGGCACACATCCATACACGTAACCAAGCTGATGATTGACTTAAAACATGATTAAAATATGTTGATAATTTACATGATAGAACTGATAAACGATCAACTTCAAAGCCAAATTTTAAACGAAAAAAATGATCTAAATTCCATCCATAAACTAAAAATATATCCACAAATGCAATTACACGCATATAACGTATAGTTGGACGTTGACGAAATACTTTTTGATAGAAAATTATTATTACGAAACTATTTAATATTGTTGTTACACATGTTAAACATAAAGGATAATAAGTAGCTAATATTGTGATAACAGATAAATGATGTGAACTCATTGAAAGATAGATTCAACTGTTTTTTGTTAGATTTATTTTCCAAATAACAGTTTCATTCGAAGAAGAAAAAAAAGTCAATTATCATAGATGCGTAGGTAGAGTTCAACCACGTATTAAGTACAAAGTTGATAATTAATATTTATTTACGTGAGATAAAAACTATACTAATATATCATCGTACACAAAATTTTCTTAATTAATACTAAACACCTAGATTTCGATGGTAGAATTTCCGTACGTGTTTTTCTATTTTATAATCAACATTATAATTAATAATTCTTTCCAATCCATCTTATTTTTTATCAAAAACAATATTTAGTAATCTTTCAACTTCTGAACTGTAGATAAAAATAAATTGAATAGATCCATTTATCTTTCTAGTAAATTTACCTCCAACTACTGCTTTCAGATTGAGATATTTAGATTACGATATACATATAATCTCGCATTTTATTGGAAAAGAAAAGAAGAAAAATGTATGTTATGTTTTCTGTCGTATACATAAAAGTATTACTACTAGGATGAAAATGTTTTCTTTCTTAAAATGAGATAAACTGTTTTTTTTTGTTATTGTCTTGGCTGTTTATTTCCTTCTCCAATTCATTGTTGCATTGATTGCCTTGCTAAGTCACTTTCAAAATGGTGAATTTTATCATTGGCATCTTGAAACGCACGATTCCATTGTGTACTGTATTTGTCGAGTATTGCTCGAAAACTTTCCTGTGCAACACGTAGTTCATTTTCTTTGTTGTTCGAGATTGCCAGCCATAACTGATCCATATGGACATCGAATTCACCGAGAATTCCCATGAACGTTCTCTCCAAGTCTTCCATCATTTGTGTCACCTGATCTAGTATTGAATCGTACAGACGACTGTTTGTTTCATAGTTTGG